ACTCAAGTCAATGCGCTGCTAGACATTCTGCCAGACACGCACTGGGACGCGCGCGTGGACGCGCCTGCCCCGAGAAGATCTCGATCTCCAAGTCAGAGCCATGACACTTCGGCGCCGAGTATTTTCTGGGCTGGATTAACTGTTCAGCAAACAGCTGTGCTGCACCTGGAGAGGCCGGATGGTGAGCTGGTCCGGCTGGGATGCAACTATCCGGAAATGTATCTTCTGATCTATTTCCACGTGGAGGAGAGATGTAACACATACCTGCAAGATGGCTTCTATACTGTTGCAGATCTTCTCGCCTACGTTGTCCGAGGAACTTCCATGACTGCCAGTGATGTGTCCTTGGTCAATGTAGATCACCACGGCTGTCTGGAAGTCCAACCGAGTGATGTTTTATCTGAATTCATCCCGGCTTGGCGGCAAGACGTGGAGCGAGGCGACCTCCATGTCGAGTACCTTGGAAATTTGCCTGTCTTCCACTTCGCACCGCGACGACGGGCACCTAGACGGGGAAGCTGAAGGGACGTCGACACAGACGGACGTCGTTCTACGAAAGTTTGTGTCAGCGACCCACGCTCTGCGTGTCCGTGACTTTGCAGCCGGCAGAAAACGACGAGTCTCCGTGCGCCTGACGACGCAACCGGTACTTTTGGAGAGACTCTGTTTCAAGGCGGATACACACTTGTTGCCTTTAGCTCCTCATGTTTTTCTCTGCATGTCGTTTTATATGTTTAGATAGCTGCTTCTACTCAAGTTTCTTTTTTGCAATGGTGATGAGAAGAACTCTGGTTCTCTGTTACACTTGGCTTTGCAATTTCAGCAAGCTTCGAGGCAATTATCTGTTAGGGAGCGCTGTCCTTTGTAATTGTCTCAACTTGCATAATAGTCCGCCGGAGAACTCTGCTTCTGTCTTATAGTCTGCTTTGCGTGTTGCTCCAGATCCGACGCTTCTGCGGAAGTTCTTACGGAGGTGGACACAGGGCGACACCGAGGCGCGGGATCCCAGAGAGAAAAGCTTAGCTTTAGATCGACGCTAGCGTGAAAGTTGGACCAGAAGACTGCATCACGCGCTCCTTTCGTTGTTTTTCTTCTATTCTCTTGTCTCTCAAGGCATGGACGTGCTTCTGTCGAACTTCGGCACTGCGGTGGACGCAACGCGTCAGCGAGGCGCGGGATCCCAGAGAGAAAAGCTCGGCTTTACATCTATGATAGCACGCGCGCTTCTGTTGGCACTAGTTTCTGGTTCTTGCCCATTTCAACAACAACTAACCATTTCTCTCAGGGTTATAGCTTTTTGGCTCCAGTATTCATAACATCTAGGCTTCGGACAGATTGCCCTGGTATGAATCACCTGCAGCCATCCCTGCCACATTTGCCTGTGGAGCTTTGTGCGCAAGAGTGGATCGACGATATGAAGGATCTCATTCAGACGTACTTCTACCATGGGCCATGGAGGCATCTGGATCGTGTCATGTGGAACCATTCTTACAATTTGGGAGATCTCCGTGCGTGGCCCTTGGACGCGACCATCGTCTATGAGTCGAGCGATATGGTGTATGTCCTGGGCAGTCTGAAGTAGGCGGCGAACTTGGCCGAAGTGGCGTATATCTGCGGCGTCCAAGTGAACACGCTCGTGACGCTCTGTGCCAAGGAGTTGCAGGCCAAAGGGACACCAGAGAGTTGGGATGCCTATTTACGCCTGCACAGTGCCCAACAATGTGTCTACGCTCTGGACGATTTGACGGTCAAAGTCGCCCAAGATCCGACGCTGTACACGGAGCAGGCCCAGAAGAACTGTCGGGTGTGGTCAGAGATCGCACGCACTTTGAATGCCAGGCGCGCCATGCTGGGGAAGAAACAAGTCGTGCTCTTCCATTGTTTCGGCGGCATACATCGCAGCCCCGCGGCACTGGCTGCGACGTTGATGGCCAGGGAAGGTCTTCAGGCGCAGGAAGCCATTGAACAGATTTTGCGGCGCCGACCTTCCTTGCGCCCATGGAAAAATCGAGACTATATTCTATGGGCACTGAAGCATTGGGAGACTTTGCTATCCAAGCACGCTCACGCGGCTTTGAGTCTCTGAGAGGCTCGGGACATGGACGCCGCTCTGCGAAAATGTATCACCGCGACGGCATGGACGCTGTTCTGCAGAAGTGTCGTCGCGCGGACTAGACGGCGCAGGCAAACAAAAATAGGCGCGGCGCCGCCGTGAGCTTCAGCCTCTAATCTCAGCAAATAGTTTAGCATAGGAGATATCTTCTTGGTTTCTCCCCAAAGCTCTTGTTTTTTTTCCGGCCAGGTGTACTCTTCTACCAGGAGGCGAGGACGGGCGAGGGCAGAAGACGAAGACAAATTCATCGGCGCGGTGCCACACTGAGCTGCATGAAACAGCCTAGCACAAGAGACATCTGAGAGGTTTCTCGCCAACTCGCTTGTTTTTCTCGCCAGGTGTGCTCTTCGACAAGAAGGCGAGGACGGGCGAGGGCCGAAGACGAATACCACAGTACACACGATTGTACGCTGCGTCAGTGCTACTTGGAAACTGGGTTCCGGTGCTTCGCAGCCAGTCACTTGTAAGCACACCTCGTCGTCATTCCTCTCACCACGCCGCCGTGCCATGACTGCCCTGCGCCCAGTGGCTTGGGAAGCGTGGGTGGCGGAAGCGAAGGTTTGGTTGCGCCTACATCCACGCGAGGACCATCGCGGAGTGCCACGCGAGGAGCGCCGGCGATCTTTTCCCAAGAGGGCGGCGTTTGCGCTGGTCACTGCGGCTGAAAACTTACCCGGACGAGACCTCGGAGCCCAGCCTTGCGAACTTTGCGGGCAGTGGACGCATTCCTGGTGCGAGGCTTGTTCGCTGCGGCCGTGCAACGCCGTTTGTACCCAGTGCGATGCAGATCACCTTATCTGTCGACCATGCCAGCGTCTTGGGCGGTCGTGGGAAGCGGCCCGCGCTGCTAATACCACGCCGCCCGATTGCATCGAACTCAGCGGCTACCACGACCAGACTGGCAGGTTTGTTCAGGTGGACCCCCCGCTCCGCATCCCACTGGCGGACGTGTCACCAGATGGCACCCTCGACGCCGCCCAGTTGGCCCAGATGGTCGCCGCCGTGTCTCCGGAGCGGACAACGCAGTGAGAGTCTCCCCGACGCAGAGTGTCACCTAGATGTTCACATGGTAACTGCATGTCTCATACCACGAATTCTTCTTGCGGAAGCACGACAAGTATAGACATAGTGTCGGGGAGTCTCTGCCCTATACAAGGGCTAGTCGCGAGCTGAACGACCAGAGGATACGAAAACATGCGCAGTGCCTGCTATGTGTCACCTCGTGCTACTTTGTTGCATGTTTCTGTAGGAGAGGCGATTGGAAAATGACCAGCATGGTGGTTCTCAATTACATCTAGAGCGAAGCACATGTCACCCTCAGAGCGCCTGTGCCAACAGACTGTGCGTTTTCCGTGACTGACCTTTCGGGGCTCACAGTGACATTGCAGAAGTCTCCATACAACTTGGGCCAACTACAACAATATCAACTCAACAGCAATGAAGAATATACTAGCAAGAAGTTTGAACGCGCCCCACAAGCTTTTGCAATATTCATTTCCCACATAAACCTTTACCAGGCAAACCGAGCCTTCTTATGGCTATGCATGCGCTATTTACTACTTTACAGCCCACTAGCTCGTAGGTCTCCCTCTTTGCCCAGCCATCATGCCAGGGAACCTTGGCATTGTTGACGACCACTTCTTGTATACCAACCTGGATAACCAGAGACAGGTGTGCCTCTGTTGGTCCTATGGAAGCAGGACATACCATGACGACCAGCCAGAGCTCATCCATGAAAGATGGCCAAACCAGTCCATAGCAACCAGATGCTGGGTTGCCCATGGAGAAACCTGGCAGTTTTGGCGAGTGGTCCAGTGGTCCAGTGGATGGGAAGACTGGGTTAGGAACAACAGCCGCAACTTCACAGATGCCTACACCATCCAGATCTGCTTCGGGTGGACGCGCTAGACCCAACCAACTGTGTGTCTCATGCCGTGACTTCTTCCTGATAAATTCTGTGTGGACGTCGTTCTGCGGAAGCACTACGCTATCCTTGCTGTGTACAAAGACTAGTCGCGAGCCGAACAACGAGAGTGCGCTAAAACATCTACAGTGCCTGCTGTGTGTCACTTCACGCTACTTTGTCACGTTTTTCTCTGAAACAGTCAATTTCTCTGAGACAGTCAATTACTCAATGACAAGCATAGTGGTTGGTTATACTCAAATATCTACTCAACAGCAGTGACGAATATACTTGGAAGAAGGTTCACGCAACCCACAAGCTTTTGCAATCGCACATGAACCAGAGCCTTCTTATTCCTCTTTGCCCAGCCATCATGCCAGGGAACCTTGGCATTGTTGACGACCACTTCTTCAGCGTCAACCAGGATGACCAGAGGCAGATGATTCACACGTTCTTGTTCAGTCTGCAGTGCGGCATGTGGTGATGCAATTGTTGAGATGGCAAAGCCAGCATGCTGGCTAGCATCATAGTCGAAGTGGGTAAGCCAGCACGCTGGCTGCCATTGTCCAGATGGCAAAGCCAGCACGCTGGCTGCCATCATAGTTG